AAAATGAGTTTTGAAAAAGATTTCCAATTTCATAAATAAGATCACAAGTATAACATTTCAAAAATCAGGTTTTAATTAAAAATTTAAAAATATATATTTTTTATTTTTATATAAATTATATCTAATCAAACCCTAACATAATAGGAAGAAACCGCCCGTCTCTCTCCCATTTCTACCCTCTCACGGTCTCTCCACCCTCTGCACCCATGGCCGCCTCCACTCATCGCCGTTTGTCCACCGATCACCGCCCACCCAACGCCGCCTCAACCCCTCTCTCTCGGCTTTCGAGGCAAACCCATTTCTACCCTCTCTACGGTCTCTCCACTCTTTGCGCCAATCGTCGCCTCTACCCATCATCGTCTATCTACTATCTTCCGCCGCTCATGATAGAGCGACGTTGGTAACAGGTGGTGTAGGAGCGTGCTTGCGGCGGTGGTATGTGCAGATCTGTTTTTGTGCGTGTGTGCGGGCAGTGCGTGCAGATCGTTTTTTTTTCTGTTCTGGTCGTCTGTGATTTCCTGTATGAGTGCGCTACTGCTGAGGCATACGCTGTGCTAGTTGAGGTTTGAGAGATTTAAGGCTAATATTTGTTGTTGGCTATGGCGGATCTGGCGGCGGTTTTGTTGTTGTTCCGTGTTTTTGTGTAGTTGGCATTTTTTGGGATGGTCGAAATCACCCACCGATAATTTCCATTTTGGTGCTGAGTCTCTGGTTGTTGTTGTTGTTGGTAGTGGCGTCAGTAGTCCATTTGCTGTAGTTAGGCTATTGGGTGGCGACGGTGGTCGTGCCGCTGATGGAGGAAGCGGCGAAGTGGGGTCACAAATGATTTGGGGTGGTCACAAATGATTAGGTTGTTTGTGACCAAGAATTTGAGTAGTTTGTGACCAGTAAACAATATGAGATGAGTTGAGGGTGGGTGTCCATGACTTTGAAATTGTGACCGTGACTTACTATAATAGAGTTGTGTCCAACAAAAAATTTGATTTTTTCAATCTGTGACCTATAAAAATTTTTAATTCGTAGTGGAGAAATAATCCGTAACCATAAAATTCGGTGGTCATAATATAAATTTTGTGACATGTGACCGATAATTGTGACTTTTAATTTTTTAAGTTGTAACCGATCAACAAATTGTGACCTATGAAAATTTTGAATTGTGGCCTAAAAAATTTCGCTAGAGTTGGAACAATTGCCGGAATAGGAGAAGTCGCGAGAATAAAGCGGGGGCAGAACGGTCATCAGAATAGTCGTATGAATCGGAGCAGTCGTCGGAGTAGAGTGATGATAGAAAATGTCGTCTAAATAATCACCGGAGCTGTAGGGGTGATGGAGGTGGGGATGAGTTAATTATATTATTAAATTGATTTAATAATTATTATTTCATAAACAAAAATTTAAAGAAACCTGATTTTTGAAAATTGAAACTTGTTTCTGTATTTTTGAAATGGGTGAAAGTAAATACATGATTTACGTATTGTTCCCTTTGAAAAAATGTATTTTTAGAGAATGCGTGTCAAACATGGGCTAAAGATTAAGTTTGCTTATAAGTAAACATTCTTATAAGTTATAAGCCCAACAATTATTTTCAATTCTTTTTTCAACATGTTTAATTTTTAATCACACGCTCACGCGACAAAATATTTTATACGTAACTTCAAAAATTTTCATATTTTTTATTTGTCAATCTTTTCTAAAAACCACTATTCAAACTCTGTAATGGTTGCAAGTAGGGGCTAAATAAATTATGGATTATGGTACATGTACCAAATTTTTTTATCGAATTTTTTACATACTACTCACAATGAGGGTGAGGACCACATAGTGAGAATTTTTAAAAACAATACTATGTGTACAATGATTAGTGGTTGACAATACTTACAGCACATTAATCATTGTACACGTAGCTTTTTTTGAAAGGATTAACCCATAAATTATTTATTAATTCTTACCGAAACATGATCTTTTGTATTTACTTCCACAGTCACACACAGTTTCCCTCCTTCAACGGTAGCTCCTCCCAAGAAAACACACAGAT